ATCTCGATCCCGCTCAACACTACCCTCGATATCACACCAAAATCCCTTAACAGTCCATAAAAGTTTTAATCATAGAATTTTCTCACCTCTTTCCGCAAAAAAGTCAGATCGGGACAAGGTCGGGGTTTGTAAAAGAAAATTTCTTGGGTTGGGTATCGAGTCGAAATAAGGCGGGATTCGGTTAACTCGACCAATCCCTATTGCGTGCGTTTATTTAAAAATGTCATTCATATATGTAAACTCCACCCATTTTATTGTCTATAAAAACGAGGGGATTTCTTCATTTCCCCATCAATTTTTTTCATTTCTAATTTTAAAAAGCTTCCCTTCAGTAAAAAAAAGTTTTCTAAAGTTTTATTAAAAAAATTTTAAACAAAATCCTTTAACAAAATGTATTTTAATACATTTTCCAAGACATTTATTGTCTTGGTTTTTGCCGGATTTGCTCCACTTTTTGTCAAAGGAATGCACAATCCTCATGGTAAAATTAAAATTAAATAATCGCATAGTATCTTGTCCAATCACGGTGATTTTGGTGTCATTCGACTCAGCTCGAGGAGCTCTTTCGAATGACATATAAATCATTCATATCTGGATCAGAACCATAAAACGAACTTTTGCCTAATTTTTAAAATTCAGCAAATATGCAAACTGGTGGAGGCCAAAGGAATATAAATCTGAAGGAGTTTTCTCTTTCCGAGTTTTCTTTTCTGATGAATATTTTAGATGAAATTAAAGAAGTCGATTACAAAAATTATGGTTCTTTTAAAAATATTCTCAATGAGAAAGGAGCTGAAGTATTAAGCAAAAATACTGAAATTGAACCAAACGGCCCATTCGTTGGAAATTTTACACGAAAGATAAGAGCGGTAAGGGAGGGAGGATGATATTGACAAGGATGGAAGGCAGTGTAGTGTATGGTTCGGCGAGCTATTCGGAGTCGGCTCCAGCCGGAGCCATAAAATGCCTAATAAACATCCTTAATTTAAAAGCTGTTTCTATTAGAGTTCCGACTCGGCCAAGGGTTTTCGGACATGAAACCGTGTATTTTGATAAGATCCGGTTTATCCCATTTGCAGGTTTTCAAGATTTTAGTCCAGAAAAACAGCCCAATTCCAATTTTGGGTATTGCTTCTTAAACGACTTATTTAAGCTTTATCTCAGCGAGGTCTGTAGCAGGGGTATAAATAATTAACCCATTCATTAGCTTCCGTTGAATTCCATCTTTTTAAGCTCTTCTGCAAAAAATCTCCTCCATTGATATGCAAAATTTACTCATTTTTTCAGTTGGTTCCAGGGAGTTAATGTGATTGTTAGTTTCTTGCCTCTCCCCCTTCCCCTCGTCCCAATAGATAACAATCCTAATTTACAGGTGATAGAATATTCTGAAGGAATTCTTAACAATTATGAAAAACAAATAAAAGAAAATTATAAATGGTTAAATATAATAGATAAGTTTAATTTTATTAGCAAAAGAATTAAAGAGTATAAACAAATTGTTGATGAAGAGGAATATGTTCAATTTATTGAAAATCACGGCTTAGATATGAAGGAGTTTGGTGATGAACGAGATTTGAACAATATTCCTGTTTCATTATTAAAAATTGGGTAAGTTTATATATTAAATTGGCTCACTTATGGGCAGCTAATATTTAGTTATGGATAAAAGTAAGGGTGGGCAAATGGGGGGGGGGTGTACGGGCTAGGGCCCTTAAAGTTCCTTTGTTCTTCTTTTCCTTAGTTCCTTCATACCTCAACCTTCATTTCGTGTGATAAAGTATCTGTTTGTGATCGTCTACGCAAGCGGGGTCATAACACTTATATACACGGATTTGGGAATTAAATAGCTATATGCTTTACAATATCTTATCTTGAGCATCATTTATAATTTTCATAAAATTTTTTTAGCAATGGACGAGTATTTAAACAACTTGGGGAATATTTAACTAAAATTAAATATCAGGAGAGAAATTTATTTATTTTATACAATTTGTTTATTTTGGCACGAAAATTGATTTTGTCAGTTATTTATAATAATTATTCAGATGGGAGAATTTTCGCTTTAATGGATGAGTTGTAAGTTTGTTACAGTACATATCTTAAGGCCGTGATTAAAACATGTGAACATTGAACATAGCTCTCTTTCATAGGCTTATCATCTTTACTACCTTATCCTTTGGAAAAGCTGTTGTGAAGTGATCTGGTCGATCACTTCATTCGGCTGAGAGTTGCCAGCCGGCCAAATAACGAAGAGCCCTCCATATAGAGCTCTCCATTCATTCAGCCATTGCGTACGATTTTCCTATTTCCTATACTCTGCGAAGTTCACTCATGATTAGTGTTCGGCACGATTCGGTACTACCGCACCGGTATCGATACCGAAAAAATCCATTTGTCGCACATACTCATGATTACAACATGCGTGACTGCTAATAACATCGATTCCACAATACATTATTTTTTTAATAATATCCAGACTGATTCAAGTATTTTAATTAAATTTTAGACATCGAGTATCAATTGTTATTTATATTTGTGTATTGGATAAATATGAAATGAATGCAAACCGTCTATATAATATGATGATGGATCAGTTTTCAGCTTTCAATTGGTTACCTAGCAATACTCTGGTCAAAAATCTTAAAGATGCCGAGGAAGATTTTGGACTCAGTTATCCTGTTTTATGCATTTTCAAACAAAATCATGAGGAATTCCAATCTATTATTTACCAATTTAAAAGTAAATAAATTAATTAATCAAGTCCCAACAAGTGTCCTTCCAGTTATAAACATTCAAGCCTGTTTAAAGTATTTTATGGCCGAGAGTTACTAAAATGGATGAATCGCCCGGTATTCTGTACCGTACTACCTATCCGGGATACCGAAATACTGTCAGTAGTACAGTAATATTGGTGCTCAAGCACCAATATTTAGTGAATGTAAGAGAAGTGGAAGGAGATCATGGACTTGTCAATCCTATCATAGTTGAGGGCTGCTAGTTGTTGCTAGGCGCTTTCGCTCACCATATGCAGGAGCTTTACCTCTGAGCTACCGGGGCATCGACTAATGCTTTCTCTTTTCCTTTTTAGATCGTTTAACCCCCGCCTAAGCGTTTTAAATGCTCCTGGGTGAATCATCCTTTCAATAGGATAGGATCTAAAAGCTTTAAATAATTAGTAAAAGTTGTTTAATTTCAATTTGTAATTTAAGCAACTGATTCATGGGAAATAACTAAGGAAGAATTTGAGGTATTAGAAGAGTCTCGTATTCATGGAGAGGGCATACCAAACAATACATACAATTCATACCAACTAATTTCATCTGCATATGAAAAAGACCAAGACGATCTTGTAAAAAAAGTTCAACAACATTATATAAATCCACAACTGGTTGCCCAAATAACTCATCAATTAAACAATAATGCTTTGGTTTATAGCCCCCAATTAACACAGGAGATTGGAGTAAATGAACACCCACAACAAGTTCGAGAGGTTGTTTCTTAAATCAACTAGTCGGTCTAGTGTTCGGCATGGTTCGGTACTCCCGAAAGTGCCGAACCGGTACTTTTTGGTACTCTCGGAACCGGAACCGTCCCGATGAGATTTTGGTAAATTTCGGTACCACTCGGTATCGGTACTTTAATAGTCGTTATAATACTTTTGTCATTTAAATAGTGAATACTTAATTTTGAACGGTAAAGTATTTGAGTGGTATTTTAAAGATTTCCCTATCATTATCAAAAAATATACCAAAAATTCTTTAACTATATATTTTTATTAGGTTTACATCCCATGCCCACCAATTGAGACAACCGGAAACGGAGATGGAGGAAATGGAGATGAACTGACGAATGATTTGTCAAATCTGTCGATAAATGAGGATGAAAATTGTTGAAAGAATTGAAGAGAAAAGACTGGCTTTGGGAGATTGTTGTCATGGAAATTGCCTTTATCGAACTCTATCTCTTTCCTAAATCCTCTATAGAGTGCCTCAATTTAGCTGATAAATAGGGACTCGCAAAAATGCACGGAAAATAGCCAAATATGCGCATATATATGCATGAAAATGCACTAGTTATGCAAACAAAGTTGACCGAGTTTTATCTAAAGTTTAATATCAAAGAAAATATCACATTTTCGAAAAATTTATTTTTTGCCAGAAAATACTTTAAAAACCAAAATTCCTAAAAATGCCAAAAATTTTAACCAATTTTTAATTTAAATTTATCAGAATAGGCAGAAATATTTATTAACAATATGAAAATTTTCCCACCGCATAAAACACATGCATTTGCATGTTTTGTGAGTCCGTACTGATAACACTAATAGAAACTTTAAGAGAAAAATATTATAATAGAGGATTTATGGTATATTTACTTTTTTCATTTTCGGGAAAGATATAAAGTAAAAACATTTTTCATTTTTTATTAGCCAGTAAAATTTTTAAGAGCAGAAATTGACAATGCCGATTATTATTTTAAAAGTGTCTATGATGCCTTGGTTGTGAAATTTGGGAAAAGTCCACTTCCAAGGACTGAAACTTTGAACGGCCATAACTCGGCCCAAAGTCATTTTGCAAGAAAACCCGCACAAAACACCAGTAAATCGAATGTGCCCTATCGAATAGTACTAAAAAATATAGCAAATTCCCCGTCATAGTAAACGGTGGTTCCTTGAAAGTCAAATTTTTGGTGGAAAAAAGTTTAGAAACACTTCTAGTTTTCTAACTTATCCACAATTTTTATAAGATTATCTAAGCGGACATGTTCTGCTAGGAGCAATAATCCAAAGTAAAAAAATTTATGAAAAGTTAGGTTAATGTACTAACTAATATCGAAAAAACAAAATTTGTTAATCAAACAATTTATTTACCAAAAAAATGTCCAGGAACAGAAAAGGAAATCCAAATCATTTTTAAATTATACAAACAAAAAAATAAATTATATTTTACAAATTTTTATTGGGGAAAGACAATTTATTTTATTTCCTTAAATTCTTAAAATCAACGCTTTTTGGGATGGGCTTTAACATTTGTTGCTGTAGCAAACTTAGATTGATAGAGACCAATGCCAGGAGTTGCTTTAGAAAAAAATATTTTTATTTAATGAAAAATGTTTGAGTAAACCTCAACAAATTTTTCTAATTTTTTAGACTAATCTTCAAATTATCAGTCGAACCTAACCTAGCTGTATATATTTTGGGGACAAAACTAGTAAACTTAATAAAGTGTATATTGTGGGGCTCATTTTGGTATTTCCTCTACACAACAGACAGGCAAATCAAAATGGGTAGCAGAGGCGGGTCGGAATTCAGATTTTCGGCGTTTTTTTATTTCCGATTTCCAAAAATTTTGAGCCAGTTCCGATTTTCGGCTCTCCGATTGCCGACACCTTTGACAGTTCCGACCCACCTCTGATGTGTAGAGTCAAGTGCATGTATCTTTAGGTGAGGCCCATTTTAAAATCAGTAATTAATAGCCCACTAGCCTCTTACCATTTCTTTCCCAAAATTAGTAATAAAAGACGTGAAAGACACCCTATCCGCTTTCAAATAAAAACATACGATCAGACATTGGCGAATTCCAAAGTGCGGAAGAAGCACGCCGTGGAGGATAATCTTTGCAATATCCCCCAAACAAATCCTGTATTGTAGGCTGACGAATTTTCCCAAAATGATGTTCAATTTGATCTTTAGTTATTAAATGATGGATTTTTTGTGTTCGTTCCAAAATATTTTCTTCTAAAAAATTTTCTTTAATTAAAGAAAAAAATATTAAAAAATACTTAATGCCCATTTTGGAACAATTTTTCTTGGTTGTTCATCATTATCAGTTTCATCGCCAGACGACAAATCATCCACAATATAATTAGTTTCAGTACTTGGCAAAAATATTTTTTCTTTTGTCATATCATAAACACTAAAATTGGAAAAAATTAAAATATAGAAGCGAAAAGTTTAGGGAATGAATTTATAATTTCGACCGAAATTTTATATTTTATAAATTGTGTTTAATTCAATCTTGTATTTTAGGGTTGAGCAAAACGGTTAACCGCCAGGTTAATTTTTCCCTGTGGCGGGGCGAGTGCCGGAAAATTGGATTAATTGAAGATTCGAACCAAAATTATCTGGTTATCCGAAACCGAAATTTTGTTTTTTATAAATTAAGTCCTTAATTCAATATTGTATTGACCATCTCTATATTTTCATGGAGAAAGGAAAAAATATAGAAAAATAAATGCAGAGGGGGGGAGGGGGGAGGTAACAAAAAGTACCTTAAAATTTTATATCAATTTCGTTTCACAATCTTACTTTCTTCCTCCTAAAAGTTACATAATAGGCAGCCCTTCGCCCTCCCTAGATTCCATTATTTCCTAATGCCATTCAATTCGTTAATATCGTATAATGTAAGATGTTTTTGGGCCGAGTTATATCGAAAACAAAAAATACGGCAAAATTACTGAACCTTATAAATTAAGAAATCTTATTTTAAACCTAATTTGCTCCAATTCATTCATACTATCCTCATTAACACATTCCTCCTGGAAATTAGAACCCAAATTTTCATCCTCAACAATTTTAGCATTTTCTTTCTCTTCTAAATAAGATTCCTGAACAATAAGAACAGATGTCGTGGTAGTTTTAATTTGTAATGGGCATTCTTCTTCCGATATTAAATGAGGAATTGATGTTTGAGTGGATTTGCTGAAAATTTTAAAAATTATTCTGTATTGTTTATAAAAGAAATTTTATCAAAATTATAAACTCCCAAAAAATATTTTAAGAAGAGTATAAAAAAATAAGATAACAACCTGGATTGAGCTCAAGATTCTAGCAAGTACTTTCCAGGGTTTTACTTTCAAGAAATAGATTTCAACTGTCTAAATAGATCTTCAACTAGGATTAATTTGTGGGATTTGGATAAATATTCTAGACGAATATTCAACTTTTACGCCTAAAAATATTTTTATTTTGTTGATGTGCATTAATTGCTTTGCTAAAAAGCAAAATTGTAAATGAGCGAGACGCCGAAACTAAACCTTTGGAAGCCCAAATTCAAAGGATTGATGATCTCCAGTCATTCACCTTGAAATTAAAACCCTGGCTAAAACTTGCTAGAAACTCGAGCTCAATCCAGGTTGGTGCCTTTTTTCTTCACACCCCTTTCGAAACACAAATACCCTTCCAAAGTTCCTATTAGACGCATTTTTACAAACTTAAAAACTCACTTATCCACACAATTTTGTTCTTGATGAGCTTCCTTCGATTTAGCCTTACTTGCAGGAATATTCTTCATAATTGGTGTTTTGTTTGCTTTACTCTGAACACTCAAAGGTTGAAGGATCCGAACTGGCATATTCGGAGAGGCAAAATTGTTTTGTAATTCTTTATTTTGAAATTCTTTGACAGCCTCCAAATGTTTCCGAACATTGTTTTCACGTTCAAGTCTGGCTTCTTCTTTCTTTTTGTTATTTTGTTCAACCCGTTTAGCACGCTCTTCTCGTTCTCTATAAAAATTTAAAAGTAAATATAAAATTGACGTTTATATTTCTCGTTTCTTTTCTCATGAAATAATTAAGGAAAAAATTAATTTTTTAAATTAGGTCAAAGACTTTCTTGGCTACGGCCAATATAAGCTTATCATTTGTCAGACTTAAACGTGAGTCTAGAACTAGAACCCTTTTAAATGTCAGGATACTCTAAAAGCTTAATTATCAATGTAAATTTTCGTTAGAATTATTGTAGTTTTCCAGAGGCTGTTAAATTCTTATGGAACTTAACAGCAAATCCATTTTTCCATAGTTGACACAAACAGGAAAAAGGGAAATTCTGAGGAGTTGGAAAAGCTTATAAACACAAAAACTTTCTCAAAATAAGTCTTAAAAATAAAATACAAAAAACCTCTTTGCCCGATCAGCCTTCTCTCTTAACAAATCTTCACGAGCTCTCTTCGCCTGATCTGCTTTTTCATCAATCTGTTTCAATTTGTGTACCTTCTGCAACGTCTTATCGATGGCCACAGGCGTTTTAACAGGAATCTTTGTTGGAAACTTGGACTGGATCTTTTTTGGTGTAGCAACAGCATTCTAAAATTTTGTGTCAATTTAAAATAAAATTAAAAAAAAATTTTTTACAGGAGTAAGACGAAGAATTGGAGGCATTTGAATTGCTTGTTGGGCACTTTTCACGAGTTCATTTGTAATTGCCAACTTTCTCATTGAGCCAACAATTTCTTTTGGAGTTCCCAGCATCTTCAACTTTTTTGGCTATAAATTTATAAAAATTTCAATTAAAAGTTTCTCACTTTTGGACTGCATGGAGTAGCTGGAGTTGAAGAAACACCGCCCGAGTGAGCATTGATAGGAAAGCGAGACGCAAAAGGAGTCTCTGGCACAAATAAAATGCTTCTGTCATCTTGCTCAACAAAGGGTTCCGGCTCATTTGGAAACGCTTCACCCATATGTTCCTGTGGAGGCTCTTTCTCCATCTGTTCTTCTAAAACTTCTTTTTCTTGCTCAAAAGTGGATTCCGGCTCATGTGGAGGCTCTCCTTCCATATGTCCCTGTGGAGGCTGTTCTTGCATTTCTTCTTCAACAGGATGTTCTTCTTCAAAAATGTGTCCTTCTACAGTCGGATCAGTTGGAGGCTCTTTCTCCTTCTGTTCTTCTTCATTTTCTTTTAACTGCTCAGGCTGATCTAAAAGAGTTGTATCCTCCAAATATTCATCATCCGAATCAAAATTCAATTGTTTGAATTTGCTAATTTGTTCAAGTAAAGCAGTGGCTGGCTTGGCCCTTTTTGGCGTTTGCAAAGCCTTGAGGATGTAAATAAATGGTAAATTGAATTTCATAATCCCCTCTCAAATCTGAGGTAAAACGTGTTACATTTTACAAACCTTAATCTATGGCGCTATGTAACCAGCTCTGCCTTTTTAGAATCGATGCCAAGCGCGTACGAATACTATTTGAAATGAGCACATTGTATTCCCTTAAAAATTTTGTAACACATCCATACACGCGCAACACAGGACTATTGATTCTAAAAGCAGGGCTGGGTACTTATCCGCATTTAATTCAGACAATTATTCTATTTTGAGAGGGAGACTAGGTGGAGCAAAATTCAATTTTACCAAATAAAGTATAGAATTAAAGATCAAGCTATGTCTGGACCAAAGCCTAGGTTTTTACTGTACCCAGAGTCCAGGCCCAGGATCCGGCCCAGGTCAATAAATGAAATCAAGTACCCATAAACAGGCCCAGGTTTTTCAAAAATCTCGATCTCTAAATCTATAAAGAAAAAAACCTTTTGATTTGCATAATTTTCCCGTATAAAAGTTTTCAGCTCAGTTTTAATCTTTTGAAATTCATCCACTTTTTGCTCCAGAATCTTCCCAACTTTATCATAAAAAATTCTTCCCAACATTTTTTCATAATTCGACCAATTGATGAAGCTGGCAACAAGTTTTAGATCCTCAATCTTTTTTGTATCAACATCCTCTTCAATTATTTCAATTGTTTTTGAACGCTTCTTGCTAACCGATCGAGTTTCATATTGCTTGCTAGTTGCCTTTACTTTCTTACTTTTTCTTATTGCTGGCATTTTTCTACAATTACTCGACAAAAATCTTTAAATTTAAAAGTTAAATAATTAGCAAAAAATCAAGCAAAAATATGGAAAGTTTGGACACTGAAAATCAGAAATAGAGATCGGCACGGTAGGGATCCCGCCCCGGATTTTACGGGATCCCGTACCGGAATCCCTGGATTTTTAGCAAAGAACGGGATTACCGGGACCCCGGGATTGACGGGATTAATCCCGCGGGATTCCTCCCGGTCGATCATTTGAAACTCAATCCCGTTACGGGATCCCGGAAATGTGATTATGCCTATTTCTACTCAGAAACCAAAACGAGTCCTCTAAAATGTTGGTTTGCCCTCTTGTATCTTTCCTATTTCGTAAATGTGCTTTTTTAAACTTTTTTTGCTGATTTGGTATTTTTTTGTTGCTTTTCTGTGTTTTTGGCCTTTTGTAATTTTTTTGCCCTTTTACCCTTTTGAAACTTTGCTAAATTTGGTCTTTTGTATTTTAGCTAATTTAAACTTTATTTCTCTAACAAAAAGTTTAATACTCTCTAAACGACTCATTTCTGTCTAACCTTCTTTTCTCTCCCAATCCATCGATTTTCCTTTAACATTTTTCAATTTCCAATACCGCGTCATCCTCGTCTTTCGCCAAATACTGCTGCCAGCTGGTAAAAGCGTGGATAAAATATATTTGGTCAATTCTGCGCTTTCCCTTTTTCAGAAGTATTTTTCTAAGATTTTGAAAGACGAGAATCGTGTCCTTCTTTTTATTTGAATTTTATCTGTCTAGTTGAAAATTCCTTTTTATTCTGACATTGTTAGTCATCACTAAAATCAACACAATTTACCTAACTTTATTGAACTAAATTAACCTGTTACGCTAGACTCGTATCCCCTCAAAATCTCTATTCCTTAAAATCTCTACTGGGCTAAAATGCCTTATAATCTCTACACAGCTAAAATGCATTAAAATCTCTACTCGGCTAAAAATGATTAAAATAACTATTCCTTAAAATCTCTATTCCTCATAATCTCTACAAGGGTAAAATGCCTTAAAATCTCTACACGGCCAAAAATAGGATAAAATGTCTATTTTTTCATTCGGAAGCCTTTTGAGTGCCAACGTTCAGTGCGGAAACGTTGTTCTGATTTCTGGCTTATCTTTTGATATTATTTTGCTTGTATTGTTTTTGCCGCTGCGGATGAACCCAGGCATGTCCAGCGGAACGACAGCAGCCGCTTCGATACGATCACCGCAAGCAAAATGAACACGACCGCAGCGAAGCAGTCGTGTATTATATCTTCGATATTTACAGCGGATACAAGCAGATATCCGCAGCCATTTTTAAATCAATTGTATCCGTATCCATTACCAAGTCTGGGTTTTCCAATGAATAGTTCATATTTTACACTTTTGTTGAGACTCTACCGTCCATTTGCACGGTGTAGAGATTTTAATTATTTTTACCCCAGTAGAGATTTTAAGGAATAGTTATTTTAAGGAATAGAGATTTTGTATGGGAGCCGCTAGACTAGGATACACCCTCAATGTTTTTTTCGATACGAAACAAGAGGAATTTCGGGTCTATCCTATAACAGTCCAGTAATGTTTCGCCGGAACCGCAAATTTTGACCGGAACCGCATTTAATTTTTTGATTCCGGGCCGGAACCGGAACTTCCGGCGAAACACTACTGACCATACAATTTACCTTATTCGGAACAGTCCTTTTTGTGTATTCCAATTTCATTAATTTTTCATCTCTATAAAATGATTAATTTTAGTGTTTTTGGCTTCTCATTAAATTTTCTACTTTTATTTAACTTTGACTTTCAAAAATGGATCCTCCTGGAACTCAACCAACGCCTACTAATGGAGCTCAACAAGCTGGGGGTCGACCTACCAATAAGCGTTTACAACAGACTCAAGCGCAAGTTGACGAAGTTGTTGGTATTATGAAGGTTTTTTTGAAAGTTTTTTGGTCTGATTTAAATCGTTTTGTAGGTTAATGTTGAGAAGGTTCTTGAACGTGACCAAAAACTTTCGCAGCTGGATGATAGAGCTGATGCTCTTCAGGTTTTTATTCATTTTCTTTATTTGTAAATGTTTTTTAGGAAGGTGCTTCGCAATTCGAGAAGTCTGCCGCAACTTTGAAGCGCAAGTATTGGTGGAAGAACATTAAGGTACTTTGATTTGATTTGAAGACTTGAGGTGTTGTTTGTTCCCTTTTGTTTTTTTCCTCTCTATTTCCGGTATTTTACCCAAGGGAATGATAAAAAATGAAAAGTTAGGAAAAGAAAAATTGACGTTATTCGATAGCTAATTAGGGGGGAAAACAAAAATTTTTGCTTGTTGATTTGGGCAGATAACTGCTATTGAGTGTTGAGTAAAAGAAGGGAACTGGGAACAAGAAAGGACTCAATCCACGTTAGCGTCAATTTTTTCCCTTTTACAAGGACCATGACTTTCCGTTTTAACTACAATTAATTTTAACCCTTCTTTATAATTTTCCCTATCAAACTTTTAGATGATCGCAATCATGTGTGCCATTGTGATGTAAGTTTTTTCATATTTCTTTCAACAATATTTCACATTTTTAAGTCTTCTTATCATCATTATCGTCATTTGGGCTAAATAAGCTTTTTAAGATGAAATGATGCTTAAAACGGTTTCTGTGAAGGAGTATTCCCCCAAAGATGATTTGACACTTTTTATTTACAAGTAACCCCTCTATACGAAATTTTTTTCTTTTCTAAAAATTGTTCCGTTTTTTTTAACATTAAAAAGGTTTTAGATTTTTTTTATTTTCTTATAGAGGGGTTCTTTTAAATATTTTCTTTTAAAAAATTCCCATTTTGACTAAAAAAAGAGCAAAAAGACTTAAATGACATATTCTATATTTTCTAATTTTTTTAAAAATAAAAATACACAAATTCCACTCCCCTTAACGCTAAAAAATATATAAATTGAGAGAAATATTATTTTTTGTGTGTATTTCGATAAATACTTTGATATTGGTATTTTTTGATTTTTTTGTAAGAAACGTTTATTTTACGTTAAAGACATTATAGAAATAATTTTTATTTGGATTAGAGATCGGTATTCTCAAAAATCCTGGATTTGAATTTAGGTTAGTAACCTGGACAGAATTCTTGATCTGGATCCAGGGCGATCAAAAAATGTTTGGATCTGAACTCTGGATCCAGGAAAATTCCAGACCGATCTCTAGTTTGGATCGGTATTTTTTTTTAAATTTCTGTTAAGAGTTTTGCCTTTACTTGTTGCCTTCTCTTTTGCTTCTTTAGTTTCTTTTATAAATTTTATTGGAATTTAATTCTTTTAATTATATGATTGATCATACAACAAGCTTTCGAGCATTGGCGAAATTTTCTGGTAGTAATGTTAATGGGGCTTCGACGACTTTAAAAGGTTAAATTAAGAATTTTATTTCAAAAGCGAGTCAAGAACGTGTGGGATTGGTTGACTTTTTGTATTTTTCTTGTAAAATTCACTCCCGCATGTGTGGTCTAGAAATTCGATGGGGGTCCATTTTATGGGTACACCCCAACGTACCGCAGAGCTAAAACTTTTTTCAAAACGGTCGAATCCGGGACGCCCTGACATTGTTCGATTTAGCTCGTCGAGATGCATCGAACCATGACAAGGCGTCCTGGATTCGACTATTTTGAACGAAGTTATAGCTCAACGGTACGTTGGCCTGCTCCCCCAGTTTAAAAACTCCCCCAGTTTTTTCATAATCTATCGCAAATTATTTATAAATTTAAATCCTTTACGGCAAAAATTAGCTGAATTAACGACAAAAATAATTTATATTTTTTAGACAATCAACCAAAAAATTCAAAAAAGTCTTCCTCGTCTCCCAATTTCCATCTCTATAGTTGGCATGCAAATCAAATTTTGGCAGATATTACACAATTACGAGATTTGATTTTGGATAAACGAAAGGAATATATTCTTTGCAGTAATGCTTTTTCAATTTATGGAACTCAAAGGTTTATGTCTGATGCTGACAGGAAAAAATTTGATAGAGAGACAGGTTTCCTTAAATTTATGAGGGGTTAAGTCTCTGATCATAATCTAGCCGGCTGACTATCCAGGATGTGCAGGGTCGATTCCTGTTCGGTGCCTAGTTTTTCTCTTAAATTGGAAATTTTTCTGGGCCCTATTTCAATTGTCCACAGATTCTGCGGTCTGCGTTCTGTGCACAGACCACAGAACCACAGAAATTCTGTTTCAATTATTCCACAGATTCTGCGGAAAAAGAAGTCCGCAGATTCTGTGGAAACATGCACAGAATCTGTGGAAACATCCACAGATTCTGCAAAACATCCAAAAACATGCAAAAACCACAGAATTCTATTTCAATTATTTTTCTGTGCACAGAAAAAAATCCACAGATCTGTGGCTTTTTTAGTCGATTCTGTGCATTTCTGTTTCAATTATTTCTGTGGTCTGCGGAAAATACACAGAATTCTTTAAAAAATCCACCCTAAAATTTTTTCTGCGAACTTTCTGTGGAAAAACTTTAACAATTTTTTTCTAGGCCTAGGCTTAACCAAATTTCAAAATTTTTAAAGATTATTAAAGTTTGAATCATTCTCTATTTTTTGATATAAAAATTATAATTTTATTACCTAAAATTATTGCTTAAAATTAATTTTGAAAAAGGTACATCTTTTTTACGCAGTTTTTGTTATATTCAAGCAATAAAAAAATAAAAAACGTGAGAGATTCTGAAATTTAGAGCTATGATGTTCTAATCATCATGGATATCTCTAATGAGGGGATGTTTACCAGGATCTATAGAAGATATCTGTATAGCGTATACTGGGATATCTCCCATGATCTCTCATTGATATCCGTCATAATCTCTCCTCCTATTTAATGATAGATTTCCTCCTTAATCACTCCAATATATTAAACCTCAAAATCAATGGATATCCCACTTAATCACTCCTCTACGATTTTAAAGTTCCGATTTGACTATAATTTTGGATTCCAGGCATTTTCGATTTCCAGGAACCTCAATTTCTGACTAAACAATCCCCAGTTTTGTAACATTTCCCTCCCTTGCAACAACTTCTATCGTAGTTTGAAAAAGCCACATGTCGGATCGACATCTCCTGATTTTTCCGATCCGAACCCTGCTTTAGGACATTAATTTAATTGGAGATTTAAGGATATTGGATGAACAAGAAAATTAAGCGGTATATCAGCGGTTTTAAAGTGATATCAAAGAGATTTAAAGGGATGTTATGTGATTTGGATTTTTAAATCTTTACAATATTTTTCAGTTTAATTTAAGAATTTTTAAAGTTTTACTTCAAAAAATCAGGTACCATTAATACTGCGGTAGTACCGAACTGTCCAAACCATTTTTCGTTTCAATAAAACTGTTATTTTCAAAAACGCGGAAATAAAAAATTTGAATTTAGAAGAAAAAATACACAGAACCACAGAAAAATAATTGAAATACAAATTCTGTGGATCAGTGGAAAAAATCCACAGATTTTTATATTTTCCACAGAAATTTTCATCCACAGAATCTGCGGAATGTTTCCACAGAATCATTGGATGTTTCCGCAGAATCTGCGGGCACCACAGATTCTGTGCACACAGAATTTAATTGAAACAGAATTTCCACAGAATCTGTGTTCTGTGCACAGAATGCAGAATCTGTGGACAATTGAAATAGGCCCCTGAACAAAATACTCTATTAGGCTCTTTTCCAGATTACGCGTTCAATGAAAAAAGAGGGGGGGATTTTTCAAGTACATATTTCTTTCTTCTAGTAGGAATAGAGAGACACCCGCGCGATACCGGACCATAGGTCTAAAATGAAGAACCGGGTACTTAAAAATGCGACTGGTTGCATAAAATTTCATTGGAAGCGTGTTTTTTCATTGGACTCGTCGGTTGATTGGACGCGTAATCTGAACAAGAGTCCTCAATTCTTTTCTTTTTTTCAGATATTGCTATCAAAAATTGCACCAAATTAATTAAAGATTTAAATATTCGAATAAATTCTGACAAATCTTTACGTGCTGGAGATGAATGTAAACACTTGACAGCTGTTATTAATTTATTAAATGTTTATTTGAAAGAAGTTTTGGCGATTGTTGCGCAATTAAGGTTTTTTTAATTTTAATAGGCAAAAATGGTTAGTTTAATACGATGGCGAAACCAAGGATAATAGGATTTTTAAGAGGGTCATGAAAAATTTATAAATTTTGTTTGAATCGATGATTATTCTCATTTTGTTTTGACTTTTATCAGTTGTAGCTCTTGTCTGTTTTTTCTTGCATTGTTTTGTCCTATAATATATTTCCTCAATCTTAAAGCTTTTGTTTTTTGGCCCGTCTATTTTTCGCTATTTCTAATCAAGGACGTAGCCGGTCCTCCCTCGAAATGGTGAAAAATGAAAAATTTGAGGAGGGGATTGAGCAAAAACTGATTGTGAAATCGACCTCCTGTCTACGTCCTTGTCTCTGATAGAGCTCTCTCCTCTTGGGCCACATCTGGTTCATTGCTTGTGGGAACCAAATCTAATTAGGGCTTGTTGAGCCTCTTATGAGTTAAATTTTAAAAAAAATAAAAAACAAATTTGTGTTTAAACAAAATATTTTTCAGAGAAATTTATCTTCGGAAAGCCAGGCAAATTAGAAAAATATGCCGACTTGCAAATTTGGTAGAAATGTATGGGCCTAAAATAGAAGATGCACAAAAAGATGAAGAAGAAAAAGATGCCAATCTTGCAAAAATGCGTTTAGAATTGGAGAAAAACGAAAAATTTTATAAAAACAAAAAACGAAAAGAACAACAACATATCGAAAATAAAGAAAATTTGACAAAAAATATTTCAACAAAAATTGAAAAATCTTCATCTAAGGATGGTTGGGAGGATGTAGAATTGGAATTATTAGACAATGAAGTTAGTTTTTGAAATAAATTTTGAAAAAATGGAAAAATTTATAAATGGGCTTAATGTTAAGATCTACTCAATCACAAGCACTTACCCGGTACTTATTTAGTCCCACCCCCCGCCAGTTTTTTCGAAAAATATGTAAAAATGGTCAGTCTGAACAACAATTGTAGAACCCATTGAGCTGTGTCGAATGACACCAAAATCAACAAAATCGGACAAGATTTGACAAAGTTATGACATTATTTATACTTACCGGAGTCGACGACTTATGTCATAACTTTATCAAATCAAGTCGAATTCTCTTTGATTTTGGTCTCATTCGACTCAGCTCGACGAGCTCTTTCGAATGAGCTATCATTTGTATAGATTTTCGTCTTTAGATTTTGTGCCCCTGTGGTTTAGGGGTCTGTATTTCGGTCAAATCAAGTCGGATTTTGTTGATTTTGGTGTCATTCGACACAGCTCGATGGGTTCTACAATTGTTGTTCAGACTTACCATTTTTACAATTTTTCGAAAAAAATGACAGGGGGGGGGGACTAAATAAGTACCGAAAATTTTTAGGTACTTATTTAGAGAGAAGGGAAGCTTTTTTGAAAATATTGGGCTTTATATTTTTGAAATTGAAGGCAATAAACCCACTTCCCCTGGCTACTTGCCTGCACTCAATTTTACTTTCAATTAGCTTTCTTTAAGATCCGTTTATGTATCTAAAATTTGGTTGGCCATTGAGTGGGGAGACTGTTTAGATAACCTCTATTTAAGTCAGATGATATTTTAAAATTCTATTAGGAATTCTAACTTAA